CGTGCTGGGCTGCGCTGGCACGGCGCACCCTGCGGCTCTGCTGAAGCGGGAGCCTGAAGATCAGCGTTACGGTAGGGCTTCTCGCCATTAAACCCGTCCTGATCCTGCAAACTGCGATACGAACCAAAGAAGGAAGGGACACAGGGGGAAGGTGGTTTCATTTTTAAGTGCCTTAGCAGATTGCGCTCCTCGTTACTGAGGTCTGCGGAGCGTCCCGTCTTCATCCTGGGCTCCGCTTTAGCTGTTGTGGCTCGCCCCAAAATTCTGCGGGCAGCAAGACAGATCCCTTTCGCGGAGGTCACTTGGTAAAGATTGAAATTTGATATTGAGAAAATACTGGACAGTTGCTCATCGCATCTGCTGCTCTTTCTCTCTTTCCAGGATGTCTTCAGGCGCATTATTTCCAAGCCTGGTGCCAGGCTCCCGTGGCTCTTCGAGCAAATACCTGGTGGAATTTCGGGCAGGGAAAATGTCCCTGAAAGGCAGCACTGTGACCCCAGACAAGAGAAAAGGCCTTGTGTACATCCAGCAAACTGATGACTCTCTCATTCATTTCTGCTGGAAGGACAGGACTTCGGGCAATGTTGAAGATGTGAGTATGGTTTTGTATTTCAGTGCTGAGGCATTAAGTCATGGTCTGTCATGTTCTTGTTCTGCTGGTGGTGCTGAAAGAGCTTCTCCAAGGCCAGCTAGGATGAGAATGCCGCTGTGGCCTGACAGACCTGAACTTCCAAATCCTCTCTGTTCCTTAGAGCAGGTGGAAGGAGGTCTGGGGAGGAGGGTAGAGGTCTTTGAGAGGCTGAAAGGAATATTCATGTATTTCCTCAAACGTTTGTTTCTACTGCCGCATCTTCCAGGATTTGATTATTTTTCCTGATGACTGTGAATTCAAGAGGGTACCTCAGTGCACTACTGGCCGTGTGTATGTATTGAAGTTCAAGGCAGGATCAAAACGACTCTTCTTCTGGATGCAGGTTTGTGGGAAGCCAGTAATAAAAGTCTTGGAACAAAATATTTCCAGTTTGCCTCGTACCAAGGGCAACTTTCTTGCAGGAGCCGAAGACTGACAAGGATGAAGAACACTGCCGTAAAGTGAACGAGTATCTCAATAATCCACCAATGCCTGGTGCTTTGGGTGGAAATGCAAGTGGAGGCCACGAGCTCTCGGCATTAGGAGGTACAGTCCATTCTCTGCTCCTTCATGTGAGAGGCTTTTTTAAGTTTATTTTTAGAATGAGCACTTACAGTTCCCTAGGAAGACATTCCTGATGACTGTGGAGGGTGAGTTGGGGACAATGTTAATACCAGAAGCGTAAACGTTCTTTTAGCAAAATAAACTGTGCTGTTATAATAGGTGCAGGCTGAAAGTTAAGACTGCCAGAAGAAATCTCTCTTTGTTTCCAGCAGATTCTCTGGAGTCTTACCTCTTTGTGAAGCCAAGTTGCATTTATCTTTTATGAGCATCATGAATCAGTAAACACTTGAAACTGTTTTTTCCATACAGAATGTGATGCCAATTAATCTCCTGCTGTTTGAGCCGGAGTGCTGTGAAAAAAAAACTATGTGAATATGTTGTGTTTCAGAATGTTTTTGTTTTTAGGTGAGGGTGGCTTGCAAAGCCTTCTTGGAAACATGAGCCATAACCAGCTCATGCAGCTGATCGGACCAACGGGCTTAGGAGGACTTGGTAAAATGCTTTAATATCTTTATGCCAAAATGGTATTTTCTCCTGCCAGGTTAATCTTACCTGACAATATTTTCAAGCAGCGCTATTGATTTGAATAGCACTGCTTTCATGTGAGAAAGCAAGGCCCTGCCTCAAAGATGAGCTAAGGGGCAAAAAAAGGATGCAGGAAATGGAGGGTACAAGATTCTACACGGCGCTCATCTTAGGGCTTGATCTGCAAGGAACGTCGGTTCTGCTCCTTGCTCTACTGAATCTTCTGCTTTCCCACACTCCCCCTACCCCCCCGCTCCCTCCTTTTTTCCACCCCTCCTCTTCCGCCTAAATATTTACTGGAGCAGGGACTGAAGCCAGGGACTCATCCCCAGAGAACGTCCCAGTTACCAAGCTGTGGAGTTGCTCATGTTGTCTCTGATCCAGTGAATATTTGTGTGCAAAGCAGAAAGAGTTCAGGAGGAAGGCTGGAGCGTCCCCACCCCCCAGCACTCTCTGGTCAGGAGAGGGAGGCTCAGGTTGGGGCTTTCTCTCCTGGGCAGTGCTGGGGAGAGCTTGAATCGCCATGCTGTTTTTCTGAAGGGGATGAGAGGGGCGTTGGAGTCCCTGCTGTGGTCTGGTCCTAATGCTATCCATACTCCAAGCCCAATAGAGCCTTTCCAGAGAAGTCAGACCCTCAAATGGAAGTAGGCAAAGTAACGCTTAGCAGGTGGCAGTGACTAAGGTTCTGTGCTTAAGCTCCAAAGTCCATTTTTGTGGATCTAGCTTATGTCTTTTTAGCTTCAGATGCAAATCTCGTGTTGGTGGGATGTTCAGATGCAAGTCTAATGTTAGTGTTGGAAGATTCTGGCTTTTTAGGATGCGTTTGGGAAAAATCTTCCTTCTTGAAGCTTCACATGATTCCTGTCGTCTTCTTCGCCTCAATGCTTTTTCTCAGCAGCTCTTCTTTCTTTGCCTTTACATCTAGCCATAAGACAGCTTGACATGAAGCTCACTACAGTAACTCAAAGAAAACCATCTGCTTGCCTCGGCAAGCAGTGGTTCTGGTGAATCTGTGTGGATCTCTTTCCCTGGTAGCTTTTTGTTCTTTCGCATCTGGTTTGTGTCTCTCTCAGGACTCTGCCTTTATCGCAGAGCTCCTGCAACACAGGAGCTTTCTTGCTCCTGGGTAAGCTTTCCTAGCAAGGACAAACTGAGTAGAGTGGCGTTGTGGTACAGCCTGGTTAGCTTCTCCCCGCTGTTCCTGCTGCTGTGGAAGCTCTGTGACTGGTGACCATGAGTGTTAGGGGCATGGTTCCGTAGGAGTGGGTCCTATACAAAGGAGGAGCTGGTGGCTGGTGCTTGCTCCGACCTCCAACACTCTGCAGCTTCAGTTAATCGCGTGTTTGCTAATGGAGCGCTGTTGTTCTGTCCTCTGCTTGCATGTAGTTCCCAAAACTATGGATGATGAATGCAGGTGCTTGTGTAGGGACGCGTAACTAATTAGACATGGTACAAGAACCCACTGGGTGGGAAGCATGTGGTAAATGGAGCATTTGGCTGATGTGGCTCAAAGGAATCGTAGGGGGACGATCAGTCAGCGCCAGCTCCGGTGGACCTAGAAGCCAGGCCTTTCCCCAGCTCTTCTTGGCTGACGTTCTTGACACTGCGTTAAGTCCTTGGTAGTTGGGATTGTGTGGACAAAGGAGGCGGACTCTGATTTTTATTTTTTTTTTTTTCTGCAAAGGGCAGTTGGCTCAAAAGCTGAGTGTTGGTTTCCTGCTGTGTTTCTGATCGCTGCTCTACTGGGAGCACTTTGTGCGCGGGCTTGTCCTTTCTTTGCTCTGCCTATGAAGTGTTTAAGGACTCGGCTGATTCTGCTGCTGCATCTCTGCATTAGGTTTGAAGCTGCAAAACCTACATGTATGGGGGGATGGTGGTGGTGACACAAAGGCTGCCTCTGTAACCTTCTGCTGAGGGCCTTGGCTTTAAAGTTTAGAGAAAAGATGGATTTTGGGAACCAGTAGAGAAGAGGGCTGTGTTACAATGATCGTGTATATATGGCACAAATGGAAGTAATTTTATCCTTGTGTGCATCTAGAAATTGAGTCACTTCTAAAACATGAAGCTTTCTAAGGCAGTTTTCTAATAGGGATGCAAGATCAGAAAATGAGAACTGTTAAATTACAGAATGGGGTGGGGGGGTTGGTCTGGGCTCTTTCACCCCTCCTTTATTTTAGCAAATAAAACCTTTCAGGTACAAGAGTGACCTCTCTAGAGCAGAGAGGTGCAAAAAACCCAAAGAAACAACTTTCTAAACCGGTTCTTCTTTTATGTTTACGGAAGGTGGGCTGGGTGCACTGACGGGTCCTGGGCTGGCCAGTCTGCTTGGAAGTGGGGGTCCCCCGACCAGCAGTTCATCATCAAGGTAGGGTGCCTGTCTGGTTTGGGTTTGTAGAGCTTTTGTAACATCAAGTTGCCGCTTCTGTGGGAGGAGTCATGGCCTACCGGACAGGAAATACGATGGGAGTTCAGACTGCTTATTACCTCTCTAAAATGAGGGTAGGAGCTCTTTGTATTGTAAGGACTTGACAAGAAGCTTTTCAGAATAGAAGAGGCAAAGCTGTTTTTCGGAAGGGAATTAATTATACTAATTATCTTCTCCAGCTCTCGCAGCCAATCAGCTGCTGTGACGCCATCTTCCACAACTTCTTCTACACGTGTAACGCCTGCCCCATCCGTTCCTGCGGCTGCATCTGTGACCAGCCCGAGCCCCGTACCAAGTTCGGGTAATGGAACCAGCTCAGCCACGAGCCCAACCCAGCCCATTCAATTGAGTGACCTTCAGAACATTTTAGCTACTATGAATGTGCCATCTGGAGCAGGAGGACAGCAAGGTAACTGTGTTCTGACCAGGACCAGAAGTCCTTTGGAGCTGTTTTACTGTCCTATCCTGTTCCAAATTGGTTGAAAGGTCTCTTAAATTTTGGTTTTGTTCTTTTTTCATTTGAGTGCTGTTCTTGGCTGTTTCAAGAGTCTTACTCTTGCTCCAGAATGGAGAGAGAAAGTATGCTAGCAGTGTGCTGACTACGTTTCAGTACTCCTCTGACTAGATTATTTGGTTTACATAACAGAACTGTGGGGTTTTGTGCATAGTCTAACAGCCAACCATTTATTTTCTTCCTAGTTGACCTGGCAACTGTTCTGACTCCTGAGATAATGGCTCCCATCCTGGCCAACGCTGAAGTTCAAGATCGGTTGATGCCTTACCTTCCCTCAGGGGAATCTCTGCCGCAGACTGCGGAAGAGATTCAGAATACCCTGACGTCTCCTCAGTTCCAGCAGGTAGATGCCTGGCTGTCACAGGAGGTGTGGTTCTCCTTCCCTCCTCCCCTGTGCGTTGTGATGTGCCTTGCCCTGCTTTTCCAGGCTCCTGAACACTGTTCAGAGTAGGATGTTGCTCTGTAGGAGGGACATGATTTAATGGAGCACTAGTTCTTCCTTCCTGCAGTCACCCAAGGGCAGAGCATAGTGTTTTTCACTTTTTCTTTTGGAATTGGGCTTTACCTTTCTCCTTTACATTAAATGCTTCCTGGCAAACCACAGGGGCAAATTCATTAGTCCCTGTCAGAGTGGCTTGTCAGCAGTCTCCTTAAAGGTCATTCCAAGTGACTGAAGGGAAGAGATGCTCATGTTTACAGCACTGCAGCCCTTGTTCCTCTGGAAGCACTAATACTTAATTCCAGAACTGTCTGTGTGTGATTAAAGCTGCTGTATTACAGGCCAGTTTGACCTAGTTACACTCATCGATTGAAATTTGTCAAATTCACAAAATTTCAGTGGTTAAGAGGACTGGTTTTAATTTATGGCAACTCTTTTGTGCAGACAAGACTTGGAAACAAGGGATTTTTGTAACTGGCCATTTGATAGAGTACCTGCATCTGGATAAAAGTGTAATTTAAGTTGTCTGTGCACTAAACGGACTGGAGGGTATGGCGCTGTGGTTTGGTACGGTGCTCGGGCTTGCAGGGCTTACCCATTTGTACTTGTGGGCACCTGGCTGGTTAAGAGCAGACCGACTGCAGGCCCTGCACAGGGTCTGTGGTGTCACAGCGGCACCACACCATGGTGCAGCGGTTTATAAAGGAGAGTGGCTGCTCCCAGGCTGGCCGTACAGTCACCGTGCCGTGCCAGGCCCGCGCTCCTCAGGCGGGTGTTGCACAGTAGCCACCTGATGCTGGAGAAAAACGATGCAAACTTTTTCTTGATGCTGTTGACTCCACAGGCATTGAGCATGTTCAGTGCTGCCTTAGCTTCAGGACAGCTTGGCCCGCTAATGAGCCAGTTTGGCTTACCCGCAGAGGCAGTAGATGCAGCAAATAAAGGAGGTAAGTGTTAGTGCTCTTGGGAGCATCATGAAGTGGTTTGGTGGGGTGGAGTTTTTGTTTTGCACAGACTCTTGCACTGTAGGTTTGGTCTTTTTTTTTTTTTTTTTTAACAATAAAAAGGCAAGTGGCTCAGGTGTTCCCCTGCAGGCACATCATGATGTCAGACGTGCGTTTAGGGAAGTCAGTGTTCTGCCAAGAGATGTGCTGAGCAGCCTTGGTGCTGTTTTCTTGATAGAGATGCAAAAGATGCTGGCCGTGTCACGGTCACCTTGTTCAGGAATGGCCTTTTTTGTGGGCGTCTTTAATGATTCAGCTGAAAGAAGTGAACACAGAAGGGGCGTGTGGTGCTGGGTGTCAGTGGTCCCTGATGAGCTTTTAGAACCCGTTCTGTGACTGAAGTAATTCTGGTCTTAGGCTGCCTGTGCACAGGGGTGCAGTGCAGAAACCACTGGCTATGGCAGAGCAAGCCAAATGCGTGTTACTTATTGAATGAGTACTAAAATTTTCTTCCCTACTAATAGATTCTTACTAAAGCAACTGTTTATTTTCCAAGTAATGAAGCTTAACTTCAGGCAGACAATGAACCCCATTCCAGAAAGGGTGAAGTTAAATAACTCATGTGTTTAACTTTCTAGATGTAGAAGCATTTGCCAAAGCAATGCAGAACAGTGTCAAGTCAGACCAAAAGGAAGGAGATGCCAAGGACAAGAAAGACGAAGAGGAAGATATGAGTTTAGATTAAGTTATTTGCTCTTCCTTACAGATATTCCTAGATACTAACTTAAGCAACTGCAGTAGGATTACTAACTTCATATTATGCTTATATAAATCTACAAATAAAGGAATTTTCTTTATCTGCCATACTGTTCCTTCTCAGTCTGTTTAACGTGCACAGTAAAAGCAGAACTTGCTCTTTGTTTCCCGTGGAGTTGCTTACTGCTCAGTTTTGATGCTTTGGGCATCAGGCCTAGCCTAAGCCTTCTCATTTCCTTGTGCTAAAAGGGTTGAGCCCTGTGAGTGTACAAGTAAGGAGCACCTCCAGGCTGTGTTGCTGACAGCCATCCAGGTTTGGGCCCACCAGACTGTGAGCTGCAGGGCTGCTGGCCTGCCCCGTTGTCCCACACATCCTGCTGCAAGGTTCATTGTGCCCTGGGTGCTGGACTTCACCTTGGGACAGGAGCAGGGTCAGTCGTGAACACCAGAGCCTGACCACTGCAGCTGCTGTACTAGGAGAGAGCTGCTTACAGCAAATAAATACAACTCTTAGTGTCCTCTTCCAGTTCCACATCAGCCTCGTGCTTGCTCTTCACCAGTAAAGAGAGTAACATAAAGCTTTACTCGACTCCAAAGTATGTACCAGTGATTTACAAAGACCATCTTTAATACTACAACTTACAAACAGGTCATACTTACATTTGTTTAAGATGGACATGTTAAAAACCCATTTTACAACATTTACCCCTCATAAAAAAAAAACCAAAACAACCCACAATATAATGATATAAGTTATAAGTCCATTTCAGAAGCAAGAGTTTGTCCCCCAGTGGCTAGATATACACACACAAATATATATATATGACGTGTAAGTGCACAAGTGAACTAGGTGTCTCGGGAGAAAAAGGTTTGTTGTTTTTTTTTTTTCCAAGTGAAGACTGCACTGCAGCAGGCACGAGGGAGGCTGAGCAGGAGAAGACAACTGCTGGCAGGGTGGGCGAGGGCCGAGCGCTGCCTTGTGCCCGGCCAGGCTTGGAGGTAACCCCTTCTTGATTCTCCTCCAGGCAAGTTTCTTGCTTCATGCAACAGGACTTTTGTCAGTGTATCTCCCAGCGCTGACCACGACTGCAGGGTCAGAGGGGTATTTGTGTCTCGCTGCTTTCCCTCAGCAGTTCTCCCAGCCTATTTTGTTCCTTTACTTTTTATTGTTTTCTTATAAATTAATCTGATAAGCAGCAGCTAATTCTGTGAACAGAATCTTGTCCAAGTTCCCCCTTGCAGAGCTCTTTGTGTAGCGGTGGCAGGTGAACTGAGACTGCCCTTGGGGGGAGGTTAAATGCGTCCTTGCTTATAAAAACACAAAAGTGAGAGAATTAATCCAGTTTGTCCTAATTGCATTTATTATAAAACAGGAACTGCCTACAGCCTTTAGCAGAAGACAGTCTGTGACTGTTATTAATAGCCTCAAGTGTTCCGTGAACTAAATCTATGTGCGTTGTAAGTGTGGGGTGAGGGGAACAGGATTTCGGACGTGATGCACAGCTGCTGCGTGCTTCAGCTCCCGCGCTCTCGAGGACACCGGCTCTCGCCACCAGCCACGTGGCAGCAAGGGTCCTGTTGCAGATGCTTGACCACCAGGGAAGGACTCCGACCTCTCTCCACACCCTGCTCCAGCTTTTTGGTTATATTTGTGAAAGATGTCCCCAAAGTGCCCCCCTTCTCCCCACCTTCCTCCCCTGCCCTCCTTCCCCATGGATTCGTGGCCCCTCTCTGGTTTTGGCCCCAGACTTGCACCCGCAAGTCCCTGGAGATGGAGTACGTTTGACTGCGGTTAATGCTATCGAGTAGGTGATGTCTGGGGCCCGGGGAGCAGTGCAGCTTCCCGCCGGCCAGGCTGTACACGGAGGTGCACGCACTTACAGCACCGGACAACCCTTGAGGCCAACAGAGCCCCTGACGGTCCCGGCTCGCGGCAGGTCCACGTGGCTCCGGTTAATCACCAGGTTCCTTATACAGCCCACGTAATGAGGGAGGGGGGGTAACAGTGGCACTGTGCCAGCCTTGTCTGGCTCTGCAGGAGGAACAAGTAAAAGCAAGCATTAGTCTGGCTCAGAAGAGGGCAGGGGATGAAGAGCCTCTGTCTTGCACCTGCAATGGTATCTCCCGTGGGGTATTTCGTTCTGGAGCACGTCTTTCCCGACTCACCTAGCAGCCCTCCCACGGAGAAGGTCGCCCTTGTGCTGGGTGCAGGAGGCTGGCTGGGTCCCGCTGTGTAGTTGCCTTCTGTGTCCACATCCACCTGGATTATGTTCTTCCATTTGGTAACTTTGAAAGAAAACAAAGAGTCAGTGCAAGTCCACCTCTGCCCTCCGGCACAGGCCAGTGCTGGAGCAGAGCAAAACTACTGGGAGGGTCAGAAGACCCAGCCTGGGCCCTGGGAAGCACCCGGAGTTTGGAGAGCCTCCCCCAAAATCTGTCCTCTGGCCCCAGCAGCCCCCCATAAAGCACCGTGCCTTGGTCTAGTGACGAGGGCTGCCCTCTCCCAGCGGGGTGGGACAGTGCACGCCAGGCGCAAGGGGATCAGCTCAGACACTCCGGGCACGGCGAGTGAGAGGTCCTGAAGCCAAAAATGCACCAGGAGCACACGACGGCTCTCACCCAGTGCTGGGTCGAGCAAGATGAGGGCTTAAAACAGCGCTGTGCTGAGATGGGGGCTGTCGCTGTGATCCCCGCCCCCCGGAAAGGGCTCAATGCAAAACCTGAGCACTTGCTCAACGGCGAATAAATACATTCCCAGCTGAGCCTTCCCCGTACAGCTGGGAATCCTGCAAATCCCTGGTCCCAGCTGTGGGCTTTGAGCCCACAAGCTGCACAAGCCAGGCTTTTGCTTTCAGTGGGATGGCTCCCTTGGAGCCGAGGCCAGGACTGGCCCAGCAGGACCGTGGGACATCCCTGGCCTTGCCGGCTGCTCCATGACCTGGGGAAACACCCTGTCTCCCCTGCCCACCAGATCTGACAGCACTGATGGGATCAGGCAACGACTCTTAATTAGGAAATGACTTGATAGCAGCTACAACCTCCCAAATTAAGTGCATACAGGTGGGAGCTGGGGTTTAAATACCCACAGAAGGGCACCAGGCTCCCCCCAGGAGCTGTGGGCTGAGCAGGAGCGGAGCAGCATCCCAGAGCCAAGTGCTGGCTGTCACCTCACCTGCGATGGTGTGCCACTGCCCGTCGCAGAGAGATGGGTACGTCACCGACGCAGAGAACTCGTCAGCCCCAGCGTTGGCTCTGACGGTGACCTGGTGGGCGAGACAAACCCATTAGAGCTGAGCAGGATGGGCAGGAGATGGACGCTGCCTCTGAAAACCTGTGGGGAAGCCATCCTCCCCCTACCTTCATCTCCTCCATGTACAGCAGGAGATGGTGGCTTCTCCTCATGCCTAGGTGGAAGATGAGGCCAGAGGCACTGCGGGGACGGACTTCCAGTGTCACCTCCAAGTCCTGCTCGGTTGCCACTGCATCAGCTGCAAGAGAAATGCTACTGGTGAAGAGGGGGACAAGGGACCTCCCGTGAGATGTGTCCCTCCCAGTCCAGGGGCCGTGGGAGCCAGCCCAGGCTGCTGTGGGGTACCTAGGATGACGGACCCGCCCTCCGCAGCAAAGAAGACCCCGCTCTCCAGCGCGCCCTCGTAGCACTGCGTCACCCCGAAGGTGCGCGAGGGGGGACCCAGGGGCCTCCCGTCCAGCTGGAGGTTCCTCAGGCAGCCGTCGAAGCTGGAGGCCGATGCAACCTGCGAAGAGCGGCCACCAGAGTGAGTGCAGAGGGGCCAAAAAACAGCAGGCATGGGGCAATGCCATGGGTCTGGGAACTGGCCGAGATAGGGCGATGCCATGGGACCACCAAGCCCTTACCGGTATGTGAGCCTTGGCTTTTCCTGCCGGGATCCCACCCACATACAAGGGGGTCCGGGCCACAAAGAGCGCTGCAGTGGCCACTGCAGCATCCTGGGCTCGCAGCCCATCGATGACCAGCTGGGCTCGGCTCTGGTCTCTGCTGAAGAAGACCTGCAAGGACCAAAGGTCAGTGCCAGGGCTGGGGGCTTCCTGGGTTGGGAGGAGCCCCAGGGCTGCATCCAGGGAAGGGAGACCTCAGCGCAGAGGTGCAGCCAGCCCTGGCTGTGGTTTTGCTGTCCCCCTTGCTCCCATGGGATCACAGGTGTCCCACGTGCAATTAGGAAGCGATGCCCAGAGCAGGGCTGCACCAAGCTAACCCCCTTGACAGGCACCTGGCGATGGGGGGCTCATGTGAGCAAGGTGGCTCAAGGAGGCCCTGCGGAGCCCCGACCCTCTGCTCACCGTGTGCCACCGCCGGTCCCGGTACTTGTCTTTGCTGCGGATGCGCAGCCGGCGCCCACCAATGTCCACCAGGAAGACAAAGTGCCCATTGGAGACGAAGAGAGCCATGAAGGTGCCCCGCTTGCCCGCCACATAGAAGAGCAGCCCGCTGGAGGAGTTCAGCTTCACCTCCAGGGAGAAATGGGACCTGCAGGGACACGGGGGTGATGGGAGCGCCTTGCTCGCCCACAACTGCAAGGGACGCCTGCTCTCCAAGGGATGGTCCCCGGGGCTGAGCTTGTGTGGGGTGGGTATGGGGTGAGCCTCACCTCCAGCCAAAGGAGGCTGGGATCTCCTCGAACTCCCAGCGACTGCTTGGGGAACCCCCGAAGCGGAAGGTGCCCCTGGCTGCGTGGGGCTGCGGGTGCAGCCGGCAGAGCCCGTCCCCATCGTGGCGGCGGTCCTTGGAGGCAGGCTTGCCTGGCACCTACACAAGACGCACCAAGGAATGGAGTGAGAGGAGCATCCCCGCAGGTGTCATGGGGCAGAGGTGCTCAGCAAGGGGGCAACGCTGGTATCTGAGGAGGATGTGGGGAGTTTTGGCAGCAGCTGGTACCTTGGGTTTCCGCCTGTCCTTCTTCAGAGTGACTCTGAGCTGCTGTGGCTGCTCGCCCAAAGGACAGCTCATGGTGACGTTGACGCTCTCCACGTTCTGCTGCAGGTCCACCACCATCTGTGGCTCTGACGTCCTACACACAAGGAGAAGGGGTCCCCATCACCGGGCCAGCCAGGAGGCAGGAAGGGGCT